TTAGTATGGTTGATATTAAAGTTAAGTTGAAGATAGGATTGGACTAAAAAATCCCTAGAAAAGATTGAATTAATACCTACATGTTAATAGTTTATGGAACAAGGTTGAAGTCAAACCTCTAGCCACTAAAATAGTTGCCTAAAGTTAAGTATAGAGATATTTGGAGATCAATGACTAGAATTGAAGAGCTAGCTTTAATATTCTTCTAAAAGAATAAGATTTATTTTTATAAGATTTAGAATGACTTTGTAATTGTTGTTCAAAGTCAAGATTTATATTGATGACTTTGGATTTATGAAATATAATTAAGGCTAGCAATTTCAACTTATTTGTGCAATTGGTATCATATCTACAATTCAAAATTTGATTATGTTTGTTTGATTAAGTGTGCTATGTGTGTATAAAATTTTGTATTAATCTAATAGTGTGATTGAGAGAAAACTGGTTTTTAATACAAGATAGTATTGGAAGTTGGTAATTTGAGATTGAATAGGATTTCTATGATATCTAAAGATCTACATACTGAAATAAAATTAAATTTGGCATAATATTAGAAGACTTGAAGATCAAGATATATATATCAATTTTAAACTAAAGTTAATAGTTAGAATAGTAGGAATTGCTACTCAAACATTTGCATCAATTTTTAAATTGATAGCTAAGTGATATCAATGTGGTTTTTGGGTTTTTTCTTATAATTTGTAAGTTGAATTGAACTAAATTTTTAAAATATATAGAAGATTTATAGTAGCATTTGTATATAAAATTTTATACCAAGTAGATGGTTGGATTAGAAGTTATAGCTTATTAAAAGTTACTAACTAGAGTTAAGACTTACACAAAGAAATCAAAATTATCTAATTATGAAAGTAATAAGACAATTCGAGTTTGTCTATAATTGAGGTTATTAAAAAGAGTATTATTGAAGATTTTGTATTGGCTTTAAGTACTTTTGAATTGAAATTTGAATTACATTCCTCTTATAGGAATAAAACCTATTAGGATTTTTTGGATATTTATAGAATATAACTTTATCTTCTATATTCAAAAGCCCAATGCATTCTCAAAAAAGAAAATATGTAATATGACATTACTCTTTGTGAAACTTGTCTCTTGAAGGAAGGATAATGTCATAGACATATATAATTATTTTAATATTTATCTATATAATTAAATAGAAGTAATAAAAATAAATTTATTTTATAATATTTTTTAGAAGAACTTCCTAGAAGCTTTATAGATCCTAATTTGACTTTATATATATTTATAGTTGATTAATAGGCTAAAAAGTTAATCATGTATTGATAGCTTACAAAAAAGCTAACTATGTAGCATATATATAGGAAACTTACCTTACAAGTTAAAATAAATATCTTGTAAAGTCAACATGTTTTGGAGGTCCTATAGGACATTGCCACATAGATCCTAGTTAAGAATACATATAAAATCAAGAGCGAATCCTTCTTCACTCTTATGAATAACTTTCTAATTCTTAGTCTTATTTTAAGACTTTTAGTCTTCTTATCTTTGGGAGTATCCATTGTAGTTTAATACTATATCATCTTTGAGTGATTTTTTAGTCCTTTTGAGTAACATAAGAGTATATTAAGGATTTCTTTTTTTGAGATTCATATCTTTAATAAGTGGTGATGAAGGTATTGTTGTTGATTTTAATATAGGAAAGAAAGTTATTTTAATAGAGATGGTGATGAAGGCATTGTTATTGATTTCAATATAAAAAAGAGAGTTAATTTGATAGAAGTAGTGATAATGACATTGTTATTGATTTTAATACAGAAAAGAGAATTAATTTGATAGAAAAGGTAATGAAGGCATTATCATGTGGTAACACAATTATATGATAAAAAAATAAAAAATATGGATGTTATTATAGAAGAACCTAGTAGAAAGGTGTAATAAAAAATAAATAAATAAATAAATAAACAAAAACAACAATAATAAATTATAGAAAGATAGTAAAAAATTTAATTTTAATGTTATCTTTTTTTAAAATGACTTCTATTTATTTTGTAGGGGCATAAAAGCCTAAAATAAAAATAAATATGATAAGTAAATATATAAATAATAGGAGAGAATCAGTAATAGATTTTAGCTAAAATTACGTAAAATTATTAAAAATTGATATTTGAAGAAAACTAGTTGTGAATCTAGATAAAAATTAGACCTCAAGATACAAAACCATGCACCTATAGCGACTTATAGATTTCTTTGCAAATCAAATAATAAGATTTGAAAGTAAGCATGAGAAGAAATTTTTAAGTATTAGTTTCATATCATTTGGATTAATATTGAGGTTTTGAAGAATTTTCAAAGTTAGTGATGTATTCAATGGATTTAGATTTTGAGAAATAAAAATAAGTTTATAAATTTGAGGATTTTATAAGTTTTGTAGCATATTTATGAATAAAAATTTGATAATTTGTTATTGTGCTTGTTGTAAATGTGTGTGAAAAAATTAAGATCAATTGAATAGATTGATTGAAGCATATGAAGGATTTTGTGGATTATGGTCTCAAAAATTTGAATTTAGAAGACTAGTGAAGATTTCAAGATATCTATCAATCCGTTAGTCAGATTGAAATACAATTTTGCTCATAGATAGTTAGTTTGACTTCCATTAATTGTATAAAGTTTGGAATCAATTGAATGGTGAAAATAAGAGATCATAGCATAAGAATATTAATATTAAGATTGAAGAAAGAAGCCATCTAATATCTAAGAAAAGTTTAGAGAATATCACCTATTTGGTATAGGTAATTTTTTTTTTATTCTTGTTGTTAACTTAGTTGTTGCAAAGTTTAAAATTTTAAGTCAAAATCAATAGTTCAATCTTTAATTACTGAATTTTCAATCTATAATAAGATTTGTTAAGAAACTATTCAAGATTTAGGATTTGATCAAGGATTAATTAGAGTTGCTTGAGAATCTACAGTGTCGTGATCTAATAGGACTATATAGTGAAATTATAATCAAAATTAAATTTCTAATTAATATCTAATTATCTTGATTAAATAATAATTCAAGGTATCTAAACATGGCTTTTATAAAAGCCTCTTAGGTTATTTTCTTATCTTAATAGTTAGTAGGTTTAAGGTTAATTAGTAATTCTACCTTCTACCTATAGAGATTCTTTTACTACTTTAGAAAGACCATAAATTAATAAAAAATCAAATTAAAAGAGATAAATAATTAGTATAGTTGATACTAAGATCAAGTTGAAGATAGTTTTGGACTAAAAAATCCTTAGGATAGATTAGATTGATACTCGGGGATCAATCATTTATGAGACAGGGTTGAAATCAGACATCTTGCTATTAAAATGACCGCTTAGGACAAAATAGGGATTCATTTGAAGATTGGAGATTAGAATTTGAGAGCTAGGTTAGAGCTTATTCCAAAGACATAAGGTTGGTTTTGATAGGATTTTCAAAGAATTAGCAATTGTTGTTGGAAGTCAAGGTTTATATTGGCAACTTGGAATTTATGCAATGAAATCAGGGCTAGCACTCTCAGCTAGTTCCTAAAATTGGTGTCACATCTATAATTTAAATTTTGACAGTGCTTGGATAATTAGGTTTTCTAAGTTTTTATGAAATTTTGTCATAATCTAGCAATGCAATTGAAAGATATCTCGGTTTTGGTACAAGAATATATCAAAAGTTGGCAGTTTGAGGTTGGATAGGATTTCTATGATATCTAGAGTTCTACTAGTCAGATCAAGGTGAAAGTTGGCATGGTATTGAAGGACTTGAAGATCAAGGTGCACACCAATTTTGAGTTGCAGTTAACACTTGAAGAAGGAGAAATCACTGCTAGAAATTTTGCTTCACCTTTTAAGTTGGTAACTGAGTGACATCAGTGCAGTTTTTGGAGGTTTTCTCACAATCTATAAGTTGGATTGGGCTGAAAATTCTTCAGCATATAAAAGATTTACATTGACAATCGCATAAAAATTTTCACATTAAGTGGAAAATAAAATTAGAAATTACAGCTTATCAAAGCTCACTTATTAGGATTGGAGCTTATAAGAAAAATCTAAATTACTTAAATATGAAAGTAACAAGGTAATTGAGGTTTATGTTTGATTAAGGCTACTAAGAAGAGTGTTTTAAAGCACTTTTGAATTGGAATTTGGATTATATTCTTCTCATATGGATGAAATCTATTAGAGTTTCATAGATGTTTGTAAAACACAACCTCACCTTCTACAGCTAGGTACTCAGTGCATTCCCAAGTAAGACAACACATAATATGACAACGGTGTGGTTAGGATTTGGTTACAATTTAGGATTTTGTTAGGAATTCATTAGAGTTGGTCTAAGATTTAGAATTTGGTTAGGATTTAGAATTTGATTAGAATTTAGAATTTGATTAGAATTTAAGATTTGATTATGATTAATTAAAGTTTAAGATTTTATTAGGATCTGACTTAGGATATAATTAAAATTTATTAAGATACATATTAGAATTTTAATTAAGATTTAATTAGTATTTAATTAGAATTAAATTAGGATTGAATTAAGATTTATTTAGAATTTATTTAGGATTTATTTTTTTAATATTTCTTTGTTATTAGAGTTTATTTTTATATTTCTATAGAATTTCTTTATTATTTTTTTTTGAGATTAATTTATGATTTTTTTATGTTTTTTTTGTAAATTCTTTTAAATTTACTTTAGATTGATTAAAGTTTGATTAAGGTTATTAAGGATTACTTAAAATTTCTTTAAGACTTTAGTAGATTTGGTAGGATTGTTGTTTTATTTCTACTTACCTTCTACAACTAGATGTCTGATGCATTTTCAAGCAAGAATACATTTCTCATAAATAAATAACAAATAAATAAATAAAAGCAAGAAGAAAGTCGAAGTACAATATGAAGAAGGGAAAAAAGTGAAAAGAAAAAGCGGTGTAGAAAGAAAACGACGAGAAAAGCAGGAATGGAAAAAAGGAGGCAAAAAGCGGAGCCCACTCAGACCACACATAATGCGTGTGAACACGGCCTTTCGAAGAAACGCTCCCCTTGTGCCCCCAGCGTTCCCATTCCTGTTCCCCACAGAGTCCGAGGAAGGCCGTGTGCCGCTAAACTTAGAGGGGGTCCATTCGCCTGCCGACAAATTAGCCGGAAGATTAGCGAGAGCCAGAGCGAGAACGATGAACTCACTCTCTAGCGAGAGAGATCGATACGATCGATACAAGAGCAAGAGAGGGAGAGATGGGATTTGTTTAATGCTGAGAGTTGCAAGAGTAGCAGTGCATCACAACAGCCACAGCGTCGATAAATAAGTACGCGCAATCAGAGGTGAGAACCATGAAGACGAGGGATCTGGCAACGCTTCTTCGATGCTGAGCAGGCCCTTCCCCTCCCCCGTATTGATGGCAGAGTTCGTAAGGGAATGTTGGGTGTTAAGTTATTGGATTAGTGCAGACAATCGCTGTTGTTAGTTTGCATTCAAGAGCTTACGGCGGCTCCCGTCCTTGGGATGACGAATCCTTGTTTGTTGTCTGCAGGAGCATCGTTTTTTTGATTTTTTTCGCCCAGTTGGGGGATTTCAGAATAAACCTAAACCCGGTCGTATCGCATTTGCCATGGTCATTAGTAACCGGATTGCGGAAACGATGCCATTGCTCAATTGTGTTCTGTCTTGGTTTCCCATCGCCGCCGATGCGATCATGATGGTTATCTGACTGGGTTGGATATTTTGGGCCGTCTTGCTCCAGAGCAGTCGTCAGTGGTCTATCAATTGACTTCAGCTGTGTGCAATGGGATCGCAACCTCGGTGACGCTGGAGGGGATCCGTCCTGGTCCGGTGAGCCTTTTATGGAAACACCGTCAGCTCATTTCTTTGCAAATTTCTTTGCCATCAGTTTCTCATTCGCAATAATAGCATGAAATAGTGTTTATTTTGCTTTGGGACTTCAAAGCAAACTTTTCATGATATCGTTTCATCGGCCAATCGCTTCGGTGTTAAAGTTCTTGGCTACGTTGTGACAGAGCGTGAAGCAGATGTATTCACCAGAAATCACTCGTGTTCAACTCAACCTGGATTCACAAGCTGTTCTTGGACTTATCAGCAGAAGATTTAGCAATTATTGCAAGGTTACGAGGTTGGATAGGTGGGCCACGGGAAGTAGCAATGAAGAGATGCTGAATGCATTCTCAGTGAAACGCTTCGTGTGCGTGATGGAGGTTCGACTTGTCGCCGTTTCGCCATGTCAAGTCTGTCAGTCCTTTTTGTTTTTTTGCTTTCTTCCATTCGTCCGACTATTGTGGGAATGGCTTCCATGATGTTGTCGTTTACTGCGGTGTTCCTGTATCATTGCTGTCATTGATTCCTTTCGCATGGGCATTGGCGGCGTGCTGTGTACCTGTGCAAAGTGCATGTCTCACAAGGTTGAATGTGGACTGTAACGTTCAGAGTTTATCACCCATGAACGTGACCATTGTGTTAGCCGAAGAGCAAACCTTCGTTTCATGGACCCAGACACTTCCCATTCCACCCGAGTCGCAAAAATATGAATCCAAGCTATGATATAAATTTGTCAGTGCAACACACCTACGGCGTCGAGAGGAAGGGCATGAATGTGAGAGATGGCATTTTTTTGCATTGCAGCGAGTAACCTCAGTGCCGTAGCGAAGATGGTGAAGGCTATCAGCTCTGCGCATCGATATCAACATTATCATATTCTCGCTCTGCTGGAATTCACAACGAATGCGCAAAACAATTGTCAATTACACAAACACTTTAAGCAAATTCTATCTGTATAAAGACATGCCGCTGTTATCTAGTAGCCACTTTCTCGTAAGCCAGGCTCTTCGAGATAGTGTGAACACTGCAGATAGTCAAAAATTTGGCGTTACATGCGTGAAGATAGAGTTCGTCCAAAACTTCGATTCTCCACAGGAACCCATTTTTATGACTGCCCCTTGAATTTTCCTCTCCTGTCGCCTAGGAATGACATTGTTTCGGTGCAATCTTGATGACCTCCATCCCCTCGTCATCATGGCTTGCTCTCAATTTCGTCTCTAGTGCTACTCTCCCACACTCGACAGAACCACAGGCACTCATTGCTGCAGCTCCAACCACAATCCACTGCAGCGCAAATCAAGAACGCAGCAACACAACAGAATCCGCTGCAAAGTAATCGCTCTCCAGTGCCCTCACGATCTAACCACACCCTGTCCCTCCGCAGCCCATCATCAGCTCTAAACCCATCTTCTCTCCGTTTTTATTTCAAACTCTGCAAACTTGCAAACCCCGTAACAGCCACGTCAACCAACGTCACTGCGCCTCTCGATCACAATCAATCTGCAGCTCCACTTTGCTCTCCTAATATGCAGCCAAACATCGAGAGAATGCGAAAGAAAAGAGAGAGAGAGGAGCAGGGGGGGAAGGAAAGCAGGGTGTTGCAGATTTTCTTCTGACGATGACGACGACGAGGGGGGGGGGGGATGGGATGACGACGATGAGGGAGGTGGTGATGATGACGATGATGAGGGAAGTGCAATGAAAAGCCGCGCGGTGGGAGACGAGCAGCTCTCAAGAGCAGATCCCAGATCTCATGATTGCCAGAGCTGCCTTGATGGTGGTGGAGTACACACACTGCCCCCCACTCATCACCACCACCACCTCCATCACCTCCTCCCTCCTCCTCCTCCTCCTCCTCCTCTCCCCTCCCTTCCCTTCCCTTCCTCCCTCCACGACGACGACCAACTCACACGCATCCTCCCCCTCTCTCCTTCTCCTTCTTCTCGCACCTCCTCTACTCAACCCACCCTCAACCCAATTCTCCCCATCACTTGATCCAATCTCCGCCGCACCGGCAACAGCGACAAGCATGCCCGCGTGGTGAGGGGAGGCATGGCATGCTCGGAGGTGAGCAAACGCGGCGTCGGTTCCGCCATGGCCTGCGCCAGTGGCGACACAACAAACCCTAAACGAGGGAGGGAGGGACGAGGCAGGGAAGAATGAAGACCGCGGTGTGCAAGGAGCCGATGGGAGGAAGGAGATCGTTGCTTCGTGGATGATAGCCGAAGTATGGATGAATTGTTTTTAACGACATCCGTCGCTTACGGCTTTGTTTTTGTTCACTGTAGAAACAATGTTCTTAAGAACTCATCAATCTGATAAAACTGGTTCTGTGTGTTCGTTTATCTTTGACAAGTTCTTGTTATGTACTTTTGACAGTGATGATGATTATTATTTTATTTTCATTTTCATTTGTACATCTTTTTAAAATAAAATTTAAAACATAGAGTATACTAATTTGTTAGTGTATCATTTATTGTTTTTAATGTTACTTTGTTTTAAATACATATTAAATATAATAGACATTTAATGAATAATTTTCTAATTCATCATCCCTGGTAGATTAGAGCTTTGAGAAAACATATGATTTACAAATTTATAAAAATATAATTACATATAATAAAAAAAATTAAAATGATTATAACTCTTACACAAACAAATAGTGATGTTATTATAATGCAATCAAAAAAATTGCTCTTCAAAATATATAAGTATTTTAAAAATTGAAGACAATTAAGTAGTAAATTACATCAAAATACTTAAATCCTATTAATTTAATGGTTTTCTATTTTTTATATAATACTCAATACATTGAATGTAGAGTATATTCCTAAAATTATCAAACATTCTAATTAAAATCAGTTTTTTTTGGACAGAATATCATCTTACTTTGTCATGAAAACTTAGTTATATAAAATACAGAAGATTAGATGTTACTACCAAAATGTATCAAAGAATCAAATTCGAAGTCTTAATATTTTTTCAATAAGAACCATACAAAAACTGTGAATATAGTATTACTATCCATCAAAAAATAATTTTGAGACAATCGAATTCAAAATTACTCCAATCAATAGACCATTGAACAAGTCAATTACTCACAATTTATTTAATCCAATCAAATTCAATACAATAATCAATATCAACTATTATTTATATTAAGTCATTCAAAACAAAACCACAGGATTTGTATATTTTTGCTTTATACTTTTTACAGTAATAAGTATCATTACAGATATTTGTATTTTCATATTTCAATTTTTGTTTTGGATTAGCATGTGTTATACTAATAACACACACACACACACACATATATGTATAAATATATTTTGTACGCTGCTTAGACATGTTTGCATTTTGTTTTATTATTATATTGTACATTGTTGTATATTAAAAATGTGCTTTCAAAACAAAATAAAGCCTTAATGCTTCTATGTATATATAGGTAGATGTATGAAACTTGTGTTGTTGAGCACACAAATAATAACACTAAATACAATGCATGGATTGTAAAACAAGTCCCTCCCAACTCCCTGCCATGCTTTATTCCTATAGCCGCATCAACCGTCAGTCATTGCTTTCTTCATAACTTCACTTCGTATAGACAATCAATGGCCCACAAAAAAGTGTTTTCAATGTGAAAGTGAAGCTTGCACGTTCAAATTTCTCACAATTAGAGGCACCATCAGCATTGCACACACATCTTCAAATGATTTGCTTCTTTTTCCCCCTTCACACAAAAGTTTTCCATTTCCCATGCAGGCAAACTCCATATCACAAAAAAGTGCATCAAATCACAAATACATGAGAACCTCCCCAAAACACTCATGCAACTCCCCAGTTTATCTACCATTCGAACTTATTATTCTTCTTATTGATTATTATTGTTATAATGACATAACCCAGTTATTCGATGCTTCAATCACTGCTCAACTGCGCCGACATGAGAATGCAACCCTGCATCGTCTGGGTGGAGAAGGACGACCTACCCACAAAAAGCGAAGCCTTCCAAGGCCACGCCTTGATGCACAACCAGTTTCTTCTTCTTCTTCTTCTTCTTCTTCATGCAGTCCAGCGTCCGCTTCACCGCAATGCAGAAGAAGATGAAGAAGAAGAGATAGACAGTTAGATAGATAGAAAAATGCAAATGAGAGAAGGAAAGAGAGGGAGGGAGAAAGGATTCATTCATGCATGCATTCATTCTTTCTTTCTCTCTCTCTCTCTCTCTCTCTCTCTGACATTCACTATCTGATCATGTGTGGTCGTCCTTTGCTTTTGCTTTTGAGAGTGAGTGAGAGTGAGAGAGCAGTGAGTGAGTGAGTGAGAGAGTGACAAGGATGGATCGATCGAACAGGGCTAACCAGGCGTTCTGGGTCTTCACTGCGATCAGCGTTGGTCCACCAGACGGGAACGGAGGGGAGGGGGGTTCAAATCACCAGGACAATGATTACGGGTCGCGTCACAATCGCTCTTTTGACTCTTCAGGTCTCGAGATCACCAAACTCGCCTGCTGCTACTGCTACTGCAACCAGGCAAGGCAATGCAATGCAAGGCACGGCAGTAGTAGCAGGAAACCAGCAGCATCAGCATCAGCGCACACGCTGATAATTCAACTCTTTCGACTCCTCCTCTTCTGAGCGCTCTGCTCTGCATACATGCAGACATCCGCCTTTTTCCCGGACTCCCATTCATCCAAAAGTTGCGGCCGCGAGCACTAATCACACCACTTCCGCGCATCGAGATCCATGCCGGTTATTATATACCCCCCCCCTTATTTTCCTCGTCAATATTACACCCCCAGGTCGCGGGCTCTGCAGTGAAATCTCCGCGCCGCGATGAGAAGTCTTTCCAGGTGCCTAGATCCGCGGTTCTGCGCCTCGCGTTGAGGGTCGTGCCCCCACTAGGTCTACCTGCCGCGGCGGACAAAGCCACCAACCGGACGTGTGCAGTAAATTCGGTGGGGCTTCGTGAGACAGAGAGAGAGAGAGAGAGAGAGAGAGAATGTATGTGAATGTATGTGTGAGAGAGAGAATGTATGTGGGTGTGTATGTGAAGAGAGGGTAATTGTAGCTTCTCAATAAGGATCCTCCTGTCTCTCTCGCTCTCTGGTGTGGAGAAACAGTGATGGTATGGCCGTGTGTGATGGCTGTCCCAAACGAGGTTGATGGGATGGTTGTTGTGACGCAGCCGCGTCTGTGAGCGAGTTGCGCAGAGCAACGACCAGCGGCGGAGATCGTGGCTTGCTGTGAAGATCACATATTGTTTGCAATGGATGATATTAATTAACAAAAACCTGGTAAACCCGCAGCCCCACGGTTTAGGGGAATGGGGGCCATGCCAGCGTGCGTGCGTGCGTGCGTCTCGCGTTACTGAGAGAGAGATTGCGGGCGTCGTCGTCCTCGTCCCATGCGTTGTCCCGCTGCTCCATGCGCCTCGCGATCGCTGTGCGTCGGAGTCTCTCCACCCCAATTCATCGCGGCCCCTGTTCTTTTTATTCCTGTTTTTGTTTTTCTTCATTGCCATGATCTTCGTCGTCGTCGTCGTCGTCGTCGTCGTCGTCATCGCCAAAGCGATTGAGCTTCCACGTGGGCTCTGACCACAAGACGCCGGCGTGGGAGGGGACAAGACTCTCTCGCTCCCCTCTCTTCCAGACTCGGCCGTTCCCATCACTGGTTACGTTCTTTCACATGTTTTCAGATGATTAATAACACAATCAGCTATGTGAAATCAAAACCGTGTGTATGTGTGTACATATATATGTATATATATATATATATATATATAATTAAAACAATATAAATGTATATAAAAATGTAGTTTTACTACCAAAAATTTCAGTTTTTGATATAGAATATATAATGTAATTATATTTATATAAGAAGTATTGTTTTATGAATTTTATCATATGATACATAATTTCCAAACAACCAAAAAAGATGCGTAATTTTTTTTTTTTACTTTTTCAAGGAACTGTTGTTAAGCATTTTTTTCATTTTCATTACATATTACAAATACCATGCATTGTTAAAATGAATTACTTGTTTATTTAGCATCCTAGAGACTCCTCATTTATATATATATATATATATATATATATATAACTTGTTATGGTAAATGACTGATTTTTATATATATATATATATATATATATAAATATATATAATTGTCTTACCAATAATTAATGAATATTTTAAGAACCAATTTTTTCATTGATGAGAAATTGACATTCTCTAAAGTTAAATTAAAAGCTAATTCTTATTGACTTTTATTAATTAACAAAGGCAATTAACAAAGGTTGTGTGGTTGGAACGGCCACATAGTTATATGTGATTGGGCAAGGCAAGGCTATGTGGCAAGTAGGACCATATGACTAGTAAAGTGGAAACAAGCAATCTAGGTTGTACATCCCTAGCAAGAATGATTTCTATCATGCCTTCAACATACCACTTCTAATGATTAATAACCTCAGATTATTAATTTTTTTTTGCAATAGATGATACTAATTAACAAAAGAAATATATATATACATACAAAGATTGTTGTATTTTTATACACAAAAAAAGAGTTAATAATTTTTTTTTCATTTTTATTATTTGGTAAGTAACTATACTAAGCTATAAGATTTTAGTATTAAATTTGTGTATACATTTATTTTTTAAGCATTAAGAAATGACTCAAGTTTATCAATTTTTACTAAAAAAATACCTTATTTAGAAGAAAACATCGTATATATATATATATATATATATAAAGATATATCACCATAATATTGTAATAGTCCACCAAAGCCATCATGTAGTCTCATAAGATAAACCTCTCCAACTTTTTATAGTTATTGGTGGTAGGCTAGTTTGAAACATATTTATGTGAAAAAACATTCAATGTGTACAATAATAGTCTATATCTAAAGCTGGTATATCAAATTAATGTTCTTTATTTTGTCTCTATTAGACTTACTCTTCTTAATTCTACAAATATTTTACCAAATGGTACTTAAGATTGTATTTACAATTCATATATTTGAAAGAAAAATATATTTTTTTAATAAGTTTTAGTTATAAAAAACTAGCTTTTAATATATCAAAATATAAAACAAAAGATGTTACTTTTACTATTGTTTTAAGTAGAGATTTTAAATTATAAATGTGTTAAAACATTTAATTGATTTTTATTTAAATGGACTATAAGATTTACTGCAAACTTGAAACATGATTTTTATATGTTTTGAACTTTTGTTTATTTTGATATCATTTGATTAATATTCAGTTTTTATTTTTATTTTTTAAAATAAGCTTTGTTAATTCTACATAGTCTAGAGAATTATCTTGTTAATAGCCAAAATTGCATGAAGTTTAGACTCAACTTTTAAGAACATATATTTTTTCAAATAAATGTTTACAATGTATCTATAAATTTAAATTCTTATATTCAAAAATAAAAGCTATTAAGAAAATTAGTATCACATGATCTATTTATTCTTGGATGTTTTAGTTATTTCAATTAATAACTAAAGTTTCAATAATTATATAGAGACTTGCTATTTTAGTTTTTAAATGGTTATTATCCAAGGATTTTCATGCTTTCTTAAATAAACATATAAGGTTATGGATATTACATAATATAATATCAATGTATATATATAAATATATATATCAGAATGGTCATTAGACTTGAGCTTTTACTAATTTGACCCACCCATTCTAACCATCATGAAAAAAGAATTACACCAAATTTAATTTCTCTACTACTAGATCCAAAACTAATGAAAAACAACCATACTCCTCATGATTAGCATATTCTTTATGATGTGTAGGTCAATTTAGTAAAAACCTAGATCTATTTAATATTCTCATATATATATATATATATATATATATATATTATTAGATTAACCTAAAAGTATAATAAAATGGTTCATGTGATACGAATTAAATTTGGAGGTTGTAATATGTACATATATTTATGTATTAAGTGTATTTTTTTTGAGCATGGTAAAACCAAAGATTGTCAAAAAAATATAGCTATATTTATTTTATCAATATAATAACAATGATAATAATTTCAATGACATTAAGATGCTTTTTACCTTAAATTGGAAACATGCCTCTCACAAAATATAATGCAACAATCTAATCATTTTATAAAAAATGTTTTTTTTTGGTAGTCAAACAAATTCTATCATAATTTAACAAATATATTCACACATACATACACACACACATATATATATATATATATATATGTTCAATGGATAGTCGAATTCTGTTCAACAATTAAAAAAGGTTATAGCATTAACCTTTAGCTACAATTCATTAATATCTACCCACTTAGATTTGGTTTTTGTTTTTTTACTCTTTTGTGTTTTTGATTTTGTTTTTGTTTTTCTTAGTGTTATAATGATTCATTATTATTATTATTACTATTAAAAAGTGAAAATGCGGTTATATAGGGGGGGCTATCAGACAATGTGACATCAGCCAAATTAGAAGGGGGGCGCAATGAAGTCATAAAACTCAGGGGCCAGTCTCCATCAATGCAGTAGAGTACTACCCCACTAGAAATAGTTCCCCCTTCACACTCGTCGTCTTTCCACGTCCTCCACGTCCTCGTCGTCGTCGTCGACGTTGTCTTCGTCTCAGTCGTCGTCGTCGTCGTCACTGTGAGGTGCTGCTGTTCACCCTCTTTCTTTCTCTCTCTCTCAAACTGCTTCGCAGTATTCCTCTCCTCTCTCGATTCTTTCTTTCTCGTTCTCACTTGGCAGGCAGTGCGTCCCGCCATCGCCATGGCTGCTGCGCTTGAGCTGTTGCGTCTCCTCCTGGCCCTCCTCCTCCTGTCCTCTTCCTCTTCCGCTCGTCCTCTTGCTCCTCCTCGTCGCCTCCTCACTGCCAATGTTTCCCGCAATTAACTACAGTGTGTGTGTGTCTTGGTGCTCTGCATCTGTGTTTTGGTTTGTGGTGTGCATGTACGTGCTTCCCTTTTTATTTTTATTTTTGTTTTCAATTTGGTCAGGGGCAGCGAAAGTGCGTCTACAAGCTCAGATCAGTCAGGGTGTGTGTGTGTGTGAGAGAGAGAGAGAGTGTGAGCGTTTTTGTTTTGTTTTGTTTTGTTTTGTGTTTGTATGTTTTGTTTTGTTAATATTATAGCTCTTCTCTTGTCTGTCGTTGTGATATGTGGTGGAGTGGAAATGCGGAAGTGTGGACGGTGCGTTGTGGAAGCGGAGTGAGATTTGTTGGAGGGATTGGATACGTCGAAAGTTGACGTGTGATGGTGTCCGTGCTGATCACTTACGTACTTGTATGGTTGTGTGACGTGCCTGAGGGGGTCGTTAACGTGGGCATGGCTCCGGCGTTTCTTTGAAGGTCCAAGAACGAGCATAGAGACTTCGTCAAGATAGCACATCTGCATGTACCGCTCGGCATGGTTTAAAATTCTCTTTTCAATCAAACATAGCGCGTCCAGTTCTCGAGTAACCTAGACTTCAAGCTCATTCTGGAGAGAAATGAACTTTGACGGACGCTACAGTTGGGAAACACCGTGAAGCGGCGAGGAGGAGGTGAAAACGGATTTATTTTCGCCTTTTGGCTGAATATATTTCTTCCTTTGACCACCGTCGTTCGTTATCTATCAGGGGGGGAGAAAAATCAGTTGAAATATCATCGTCAAGTTGTCGTAGTTGTTACAATTTAGCGCGCTTTGCCATTCCTTATTCAATCTCTCGTTTGTACTTGATCTTGAGACTGTCCCTCCTCTGTGTGAGAGTACCCACGCCTGTGTGTGGCAACAGTTTCCAACAAGTATTTGAGGATCGAGGAATGCGGTGGTTACAGCGGTTGGACATTGACATAGTAGGTCGGATGCTGTTGGTTGGTATATAGCAGCTGCGGGGACTGTGAGAAGGTGCCGTTGAGTATGATGTCTGGTTGTGGTGGAGGATTGTGGTGAACACTGATCTTGGCTAGATATGTGTTATTGAAGCCACGGATGATGTGCTAGGGCGTGCTTACACTTATGACATGATACCGTGCTGGTTGCATCGCTGCATGCTGCTCGGGCCGGAATTTCTGCTCTGGAGTTTGTTACACCCTGGATAGCCAAGCTTGAAAGGGGTTTCGGAGTCGGTTAAGGGGTAGAAGGAGGAGGAGATATTGTCAAAGTTGCGTGGGGAGGAGTTGAGTACTGTAGCAAGAATCTTTTAGAAAAGTATGCATATGTGTATGAGAGAGAGAGATAAGAGGTGGGAGCTTTGATGGCAACACTTCTGATGCGGACCTCCGAGCTGGCTGGTACGGAGAAGGTGGTCATTGGGAACGTAGAGCGCGCTAGGCTGCACAATGAGAAGGCTCTCGGTCAGGGTGAACAGGAAGGACATCAAAAAACATCGGCCGAAGGCCGCAGTAGGGCAAGGAAGGGCAAGTGTGGGCAGAAGAAGCTGCCACAGCGGGGTCTGGGAGTGGCACAGCTGGAGAAGTTGAGGTTGCAGGAACAGAGTAAGCAAGAAGCTGCTTGTCTAGCATCGCTACGAAGCTTGCCGTCCCTCGGGTTCACAGATCAGAATCAAAATGGTGGCATGTTCTTCCGACACCTTAAAGGTGCCATCTACCATAATCACAACACCAACCGTGGCAGTGGCCTGCCTTTCGGGAACGGTCGCTTTGGACCCCCCGACAAGCTCGTGGAGTATCTTTCCAGGGAAGGTCATCGGCACGTTGGAACTGGTACCAGGGATGAGGACATATTTCGGACTCTAATGTCGCTAGCTTCCACTGGGCACTCTAGATCAGCTTCACTTCCTCACCACGAGCGAGGCCCCTCTATTTCCAGCATGCTGCCTCGTCGCAAAGATGACTGCGACACGTCTTTCGTATGCAATAATACGCACACTGAGATTCTGGGCAATAAAGTGCATGCACCCCATTCCAGTGCTAATGATCCTAGCACTGAGGGATCACCTGCTAGGCGAGCACCTTGTGCCCTGGCTTGGGTTGCTTCCTCTCCAAACTCCATCAGGAAGCCCTCCTTCTTTTCCAGTGAACTGGTGAACCGAGCCAGCCCAGTTGACAGCCATGCATCCAATGTGGAGATGGGGGGCGAGAAGTGGTCGTCTCCAAACGTGGACACACTGAAGGAGTCTGTGCCGCACGTTTTGTCCCCCGTGTCCAACAACGATGTGGTGGAAGTTGGAGTGATGAATGCCAAGCTTTTTCCAGTGGTTGTGAAGGATGTTGCGGGGGCACCAGTATTCACTTTGACCAACGTACAATGTTACGAATCCTCTCAAGACCCCGCAATTGTTGGTCGCCTTCCACGAGATCGCACTAATGTACCCGTCGTGGTATGTGCTTCTTCCTCATCTGCTTTGTTTAATGGCAGCTAACATCTTTCTTCTCACCTCTGTTCGATTACGATAATTTGTACGTGAAGTAGGTTTCATAAATTAAATTCATAGTTTTGTTGATATATTCATAGTTTACTTATTTAATATACAGGAAACTAGGAATTATTGTTATTTTAGAGTCGGTTACTTCTCGATGTTCTCATATGAGTTCTTGGAGTATGCAGGATTTTGGTGTGGCAACTGACACAGAACTGATTGTTGAAACTTTGTTGGTTGAGTATCAGGTGGGCGCTACATCAAATAGCGACAGGCCTAAGGAGCTCTCTTCTTTCCAAAGCTTTTCAAGCAAACACTCATGGTCTCCCCCACATAAGGTCGGTTTCTCTGGCCAAGCTCTTCCAAATTGTGCCGTTGCAATTTTTTTAGGATTCTGAACAAGTCGTGAGTTTCAAACCTATACCCTTGATGTTGAAAAATTAGTATAAAAGGTGAGATTTGGTTCAATAATGTGCTCTTCGTTGCAATCTTTTAAATCAGTTCTTGTTGTCGTATGGGCAGTCAAGTGGGTGGAAACGACCATGGCAGGCTCTCCATGAGCTCACGTGTAAAGTTCAACAGTCCGATATTATGGACCTGAATGGTGAAATCGATGCATCTGATAAGGACTTTGGCTGCGGGGGCGTACCTCAAAGTCAACAACAGAGCGCAGCAGAAACACATCATTCCGACGGCATCGTACGGTGCGTAAAAGTTTCTGCCACCTAGTTACGATATCGTTATCCATGCTGCAAAGATTTACTTCAGCATGGTGGCCTTGTCTCCTTGCCCCTACACAGCTTGGTGTTTGTGTCTCCTCTTGTTGTTGTTGCACCTATTGTACGGACTGAAAACTATGGTCATCATAAAATTTTCTCCAATATTGCAGGATTGTATCAAAAGATTCCTTACCTAGCCTTCCAAAGATCAGAGTGTGTGAGTCATGCGACGATAACCGGTCTTCAAAACGAATTACTGTTCGTGATGTGAGCTTCTGTTCAGATGAAGCCCTTTTCAAAGGTTGTCGCAAAAGTGAATCGAAGAGTAAGGATAATTGTTCTATTTTCTTTCCTCCTGGTTCCCTGATTCCGAATTGGCGGAGATGTTTATCCAGCCCTGAAATTCCACTTTTTGCCGGGTCCGACCACCAGAAGTCGGGGGATTTTCTCACTCTGGGACTTTCTAGTTATCCTACAAGCCTCCATCTTGAAGTTGAAGCAAGTAGCCCAGACGCAGTAGTACCTGAAGGAAATCTTAAGATCAAACAGATGGACATACGATCTGCCAAAGAATGCCACGACGTTCATCTTCAGATGCACAACCTTCTGCAGGTAAATGCTACATCCTTGATTCTAGTGATACAATTCTGCTTTACTTCGGTTTTTGCAACAGTATTTTCGAAGGGAGTTTACAGGCTGGTTATCAATTTAGTCGATATCGAGGGGTGTATCAGGCGAAGAAGCGGCGGGTTCCTGTTCAGAGGACTATGAAAATGAATGTTGAGAACCTCCTAAAGTTACCTTGAAAATGAAAAAAGAAGAGGGAAAAAAAAAAGGGGGAACTTTCTGGCTCTTGTGAGAAGGTATGTCATTCACACTAACTTTTGTGCACGCTAGGTGCAGAATATGAAACCCTACTCCCCTTGTGTGAGGAACGAGCTCGTCAGTGGTGAGGGGCCAACTGCACATGCACACCTCGGCTACAAAATCTCTTCGTTAGCATCTGGTGGACCGACCGAGCCCTGCCACTGGCAAACTGGGAGAAAAAAGGAAGAGTCCTTGGATTTAAGGCTGAAATTGGCATTGTGAGCGCTCATTGACATCTTCAGATTGGCAGTAACTTGCCCATATGGTTAACATATCGGTAATTATCAGTAAAAGTTCGAAGCTTGGTGCTAAGAAGCATTGTTTTGTGCCGTTGTAAACTAGACGACTGTGCTCCTCATCAATCTTTTTTCAAACGGAGAGGTGTGAGCGGAACTGCTTATAATCTTTGTACAAAGCTTATTCCATTTCGAGTGTCTTTTTATTATGTGGGAGTAACAACATACGTTAGCAGTAATATCGAGTCTTAGTTCTTCCGAGACATATTTTCTCGCATTTTTTTCAGTCGAAGTCACAATCTTTCCTGCTGTATTTGGCCTGGAGGCAAGAGGTACTTAACGGAAAGTCCTCTGAAGGCGGCCAGGAAAAGGTGGTTGTGGCTCAGTTGTGTTGCAGTTGTTCCTATTGGTCACAAACAGAGCACGGTATTACTAGAAACTTTGAAAAGACTCCTGGTATGAAGTGCATTGTAAGGAGAACCAAACTTCTTCCTGTTTTTTTATTTTTTTACTTCCCCTGCACTGTGAGCTTTTTGCGACACACGCTTCTTGACATGGAAATGAGTCAAGATTCTCACAAACCTTACTCTGCTGGAAATTTGGAAGTGATTTGATATGATTCAGGAGGAAGAAGAGAGCTGATCATGTATCTCACTTGGATCTTGCAACGCGTTGGGACGAGTCGGTAAAAGTCTGCCTGCTCCTCGTCATTCTTCAAATGAAGTGATTTTTTTGTTTTTTTTTTCTTCTTCCAATAATCAGATACCCTTGTGCGACGCAGGACTACACTTACGTTGGTATATTCCTCCAACATCGTCGTCTAATTCTTCGAACATGTTAATAAACAAAAATAAGAAACAGCAAGCCCTGGGAGCCACTGTATGCGTAATACACTTCTAAGTCTCTCTGTTGTAGTAGTGGCTAACTGGACGCCAACATTGTGGTCATCAGCAGCCGTTGCAGGAGGGGGCAGTGGGTGCACACATGCTTTTACATAATGTAAGCAGGGAAAGTCCCTTTTTTTTTTTTTTTTTTTTTTTTTTTTGACACAAATAGAGTTACATCTCTATTATAGGTCATTAAAAAGTTACAAACCCCAACCAAGTTTGGTTAGGGGTATTAGATATTTACCTATATACTATTGATGAATGTATCAATTGGTCCTAATAATTTCCATTTGGGTTTGTTACCTGCCCATGTTGCCAAGGTTCCATTCACACACCACTGGTGACAAAAAAGTAGAGAATATTTTGAAACTTGAAGGAGACTATGTTTTATGCACACTTGTATTTTGATCTAGGAATTCCTTTTGTAATCAACTAATTTTAGTCATATTGTGTGCTTTACTTGTTTGTGGAACAACATGAACTCGTTAAATGTTGCATCATTTCTTTCTACTCAAAGTACCTACATGACTACCTTGCAATACATAAGTTAGACTTGACTAACATGTTTGAATCTTTTGGAGATGCAATATGCAAAGATACAGTGAATCCACAAAGGGGTAAATACTGTGAGTCATTGAGACTTCTCATGCTCCCTTCTTATATGACATCAATCCAAAGAAAAACTTCTTGTCTATCCCTGCCTAAGTGCCTTTGTCTCTTTTGAAGACTAGTCCAAGACTTTGTCCAAGATCTTTGGTGCTACTCAAAAATTCATCAAGAATTTCTTTGAATGTAACCCACATTGTTATTTTCATGCCAATAGAGTTGCTCGAGTTGAATCTTGCCATTTATGGTTGAAAAATGCATGTGCCTCACTATGAAATGTGTAGAATTTGCTTAAGGATCTTCTGAGATGTAACTTAGTCTTTGCTCACTAATTGAAAAAATCCATGCCCAAACTCTTTGTACATCCTTTCTTATCTTTGTTCTCAATTGCTTGCAAGGTTTTGTTGAAAAGTTATTCTTTAATAAAATAAGCAATGATAATGCATCATTGTAAATGGTTCATTTGTGCCTTTATTTTTTCCATGCCCAGAAGCACCTCAATCACATGAGTATTCAGTAAAAAAATCTAATACTACTATGAGATAAGTCCTTGGGAAGAACTTCACATAGAGTGGCATGGATCAAATTGATGGATGCAAACTTGCTTAGACTTGTTGTCATAACTATTAACTCTTACTCCACTTGATCATGCATGTGTGCTCTCATCTCATCCCCAGGAAAGTCCTTTTCGGGTTCATTGTTTTCTGGTAGGTGGAGGATTGATGTGCAGCATGCCTGTTCCTTACTTTTCTTGTCTCTACTTCACCGCTCCCCAAATGTACAACAACCTTGCAGCAGCAGAAGCGTATACAACAAGATGAAAGATACTAGATCCCTAGTCCATTCATGTGGATGGTAAAGTATCCATTCCACTGTGTTCTAGTTTCTGCAAGTCAACCGCCTGAGTCAGACAAAGTACCTTATAATTTGAGTTCAACAGCTTTCTGCGCCAAAGCATAATCACTTGCAATTATGCCCCACCCCTCTCCCAGGTGAGGAGGGAGGATCCTCAGGCACGCTGCAGTAGGTTAGATTGATAGATCGTGGGCGGCTATCCCTCGAGAGATTAGACCAAATTAATAACGCAATATCTGAGTTTCCCCGTAACTCCTCCCGCAGAGGGCGATCAGCATATCTAGGTGCTGGATAAGGATAATCAACCCATCAATCCCTGCCGCTTGTCGCATCCGCTTGTCGCCGCGCCGGAGAGGGTTCCAGCCCCTCCCCTTGCCGAAGTACAAGCTTACTCTGCTGAGCCGTGCCACATTCATGGACCCCAAATTTAGGGCAGCCTGGAAATCTGGCCTGCCCACCTGGCCAAGGCGTTTGTAGGAGGGGTGTAATAATGAATCCCCCTTCCCACACCTCCCTCCACTTCTCCAGCTTTGTAAAAGGTGTGAGGCCTGCAAGATCTTTGTCCCCACTTCCATGGACCTCACCATTGACTTCATACAGTGGTCCTTGGCTTCCTCTTGGGAGTTGCCCCACAGCCGGCAACGAGGGGGGTTTGTCCTTGGCGTGAGGTGGAGAAGGTAAAGCCGGGTGGCGTAGCAAAGGAACTCCTCCACTGATTCTCACTTACTCTCTCACTCTCCCTCCATCACGCGATTTGAGGATGCACTTGCCTGCCCCACTGTCTGTTCCAGTGCTATTCATTCCCCCCTTGGATCCCTCTTACCGCGTCCCAAGATTCTTCCCCCTTCTCCGCAACTACAGCGCTCCGTATCTAACCTCCTCCCTATGTCTATATCTATGTGTGTGTGTGTGTGCACGTGTGTTTCCTATCTCGCTCTAACAAGCTCTGGTTCTGTGTTCACCTCTGGCGCTGTGCATTTCGTTGCGACAGGTTTTGTAGGATTTTTTAAAGCAAATTAGGGTTCGTGTGTTTTATATATATATAAAACATGAATGATAAAGTAACCTAATTTTTTACTAAATTTATCCATATGTTTAAACCATCATTGTACCCTTTCCACTCCATTTCTAGCCATTCCCTTTTTTCAACCATCGCCCCCGTTCTCAACATTTCCAACCTTCCACCCCCTATTCTTAACAATGGTTGGAAATGGGGAACAGTTGGGAACAAGGATGGAAGTTGCAAGGGTGCAATGATGGTTAAGATAGAGTGGGTTGTTTTAGTAAAAATTTGAGTCACTTTATCATTCTCCGATGTATAATACAAAGTATTTGAATATAGAATTGTTAGTGAGCTACATATAAGGAGGATGGGATAAATAAAAATCACTAAGAAATGATATAAATATTCAAAGATTTTCATGTGGAAGATTACTCGTTACATGATAGTAATAAGATGTTATTGAATATATAAAAACTTCACAAATAGAGGTATTGTTATTGCACAAAAACATACAAAATAATTTTTCCATGCATATTATTATTTTAAAAATAAATAATGTTTGTATCTAATGAATGCAAAAGCAAGGAGATTGAAAGCAAGTATAGATATAAGTACTCTAATTGTTGTGATTTCCTCTATCCTATTCAAATGTCAAATGAATATTGTATTTAAAAACTAATTGTAGTAAGGGAACATTTACAAGATTGAATATTAAACAAATGTACAAACATAAGAATTATAAAGAAAGTAGAATATATGGTAATGAAAAGATAGACATCAATTACTATGTTAGGCTTGGATAGAAAGAGATAACCAACATTTGTAGACATACATTATTTCTTTTTGTTGGCTATGCAATATATTTGTACAAATTACAAATGAATTTATTTAGGATATTGTTAATGCTATCACAATTTTTGCTACTGCTACTATTATTTGTCATCTATCACATGGCACTACAATTTTTGCTATTTTCACAACTTACCATCCATTCTATATATTTTTTTAGTTTCATTTTTTTATTCCAATTTAAAAAATGTTTGTACTTCAAGTTTTTTTTCTTTTGTTCAAATTATACAAAAAATACACTTATTTTTAGTAAGAATAATTAAAATTTTAATAAAAATAAGTTGTGGTCATAGTAGCAACAATTATGGTGGCATGCAGTGGATAAAAAATGTAGTGGCAATAGCAAAAATTATGGTGATGTTAGCAATACTCTTTTTCATTATATATATATATATATACATAGACATACTCACATACATATCAACAAAGATATTGTAATGATGGATTTTGATTAAAAACATATTTTGTAAATTCATATAATAAAAAATAACACACACATGTATGTATGTATATATATATATATATATATATATATATGATTTGGTCATGTATGTTTTTAAAGAATAGTTTCTTTTAAAATAAAGTACTTGATGCATTCTAATAAAATTAAATAAATTATATTTTCTTAGAATTACTAAGAATATTTGTTTTAAAATCAAATTATTTTTGGATATTTAGAATTATAAATTTTTGCATTGCAAATCGTATTTAGTATAGAGAGAATTTTTAAATAATACTTTTTTTTAGTACTTTGGCAATTCATTCATGACCACTTTTACACATATCAGAACTTTGCAAAAAGGTATGCATTATTTAACATTTATACAGTTGCTATTCATATATCTACCTGGTTTTATTAATTTATTATGTTAAAGAAAATTTCACCCTTTACAATTCTGGCATGTACAATTGGAGGACCTCTGACTCTATTACAACAAAGGAGCATTTATTTCATGATTTTGTGATTGCTAACATTATCAAACATCATTTATGATTTCCTTCTTCATCCTAAACTTTCATCTTTTATTTACTAGTATTTTCAATTTGTAATTATCAAATCAATTTATTTTACCCTGCTTTATTGAGCGCACACCAAAGGAAAATATAATCAAACATTTACACCAAGTCCAACACCTCATTTTACACGTGTAATTATAGATGTAGATAAGAATACAAGATATGGCATTCGACATAAAAAAATATGAATTTTAAATTCATCAGTTTTATAGGACAAATGTTATATAAATACCAATACATTTCAATGAAAGAATGCATGAAGAAAATTATGACAACAGTTTCACATGTACATTAAAGCAAATATTAATCTTGATTTCTCAAATTGAATAAAATATGTATAATATAGAACATTAAAATAGTCACCAATGACAACATGAACGTTATGTTGCATATCCTAATGGTTTTGCAGAAAAATGTTGCAAAATAATTCATTGTACAGGGTTAAATTAATAAAACCATGTAGATATGACAATTATTTATCTCCTATTTTTTCTGCCAAACATACAACACTTAAAAAGCATTTAATTGAATTTGGATAGACATATATAAACACACGGTTTTTGTAATGTGCACTGAAACTGTAATACAAATATTCCAATTTCTTCAACAAAATGCATGTTTTTATAATAGAATTGGAGTCATTTCTTGACATTTTATGAAAAAAGTTACACTTTTTGTGTTCTAACTCAAAGAAACATTGTATAAGATATAATGAAATACCACAGACATAATTTAGAGTGAATATTTTATCATACAAGCAAAAAGAATACTTGTCATCTATAAGTAAGGTGAATGCATTTTAATCCCAATGAATCTCAAATTTTAATCTTACACAAACAATTTGAAACATATTTATAATTTATTTTAGATAAAGAAACCATTAAAGGTATGTCCATAATATATCATATAATAAACTATGTGAAAAAAATGTGTTAATAATAATATAAAAAATAATAAATTAATATTAAATTAAACCAAATTAAATTCTATAAACAATTTACAATGTTATATTCAAATGTTTTAAATATTGAATAATTACTATTATAATAACAGATATCCATATTTTAAAATCAAGACTGTATAGTCATGAGATCTTAATAAACAAGAATCCTACTTTTTTGTAAAATATTTAAAATCTTTTGGAATAAAAAAGAAAGACAATTGAGTAGGGTGATAAAACCCAGTTACTGTCAAGTTATCCAATTACTGGGATGGGTCGGGCTAGCACGCTACCTGAACCTGACTCACACTTGGCTGATGTGGTTGATGTGGCACTATATTATTTATTTATTTATTTATTGTATATATATATATATATATATATATATATATATGTGTTTGATTGGATGCCAAAAATGTACTTGGTTTAACCACTAGTGTAAACAAACAAATAAATAAATATTCCCAATAAAATTGAATGAAAGTTTAGCTGATATTTCCACTGTTAATATATTTGGCTTTAACATCGAAATTTAATATACACCAAGTTTATCACCCCTACCTTTAAATCCACCATCTAAAGCCAGAAAACAGATAAAAAAAAAGAAAAGCAACATCGACACGACTATTCAATTATTCAAAAGAGGGTGTCATGGCAACAGCAAATATGACAAACAAACAAGTAGCAACAAAGGCAAACAAACAAACAAACAAGTCGCCGAACATATGACGATGCCAAACAAGTAGCAACAAAGGCAAACAAACAAACAAACAAGTCGCCGAACATATGACGATGCCAAACAAATAGCAACAAAGGCAAACAAACAAACAAACAAGTCGCCGAACATATGACGATGCCAAACGACGAATGAACGCATTTATCGAACAGGAAACGAAAATCATCCACTAGTTAATGAAGAACGAGGGAAGCCTTCCCCCGGGGCTGTGAGAACAGTGGTTATTGTTGTCTGTTTGTTGTTGTTGTTGTTATTGTAGATGAGGGTGCTTTTTCCAGGCGGCGATGGAGCAGTGAGCAGAGCAAAGCAGAGCAGAGAGCAGAGCAAAGCAGAGCAGAGAGCAGAGCAAAGCAGAGCAGAGAGCAGAGCAAAGCAGAGCAGAGAGCAGAGCAGTGAGTGTGCTTCGGAATGTTCCAAACAGCAGGTTAATGGGCGATCGTGGTGTCGAACTCATGAGAAGAAGCAGGCAGGCAGGCAGGCTTTACAGTAACGGGGGAGGGATGATATCCCAGCAGTAGTAGACGAAGAAGAAGAAGAATGAAGAAGACGAAGTTGTAGTAGTGGTAGTATCAGGCACATTCACTGACACCTCTGAGTGGGACAAAGCCTCGGCATGTCTGGAATGTGTGATCAACACCCCCATTATGCCCACTTATTTGTTCCTGGGGGTGGGGTCGAGGATCTCACTGCCACCATCACCAGACTGTTCCCCACTCGTGTAAGAGCTAAGGACCACCAATGGTTTCATGACACTTCAATGGGGCTGGTTTCCTTTACCCTACAGAAATCTCAGCAAAGCATGTGGGTTTCGCAGCAAGATAGGGTATCATATTCCCAAGTGGATTCTATACCGTGTACTGCGCTGGCAATAATAAAAATGAAAGCTGTGCGTTACCAGCAGGTTGGAAAAAGGCCTCCCAAGTGTTTGCAGTGTAAAGGCATCCCTCACACACCTCTACAATCAATGCGTACAAAAACACGTAAGTACAAAATAAATACGGAAGTACATGAATAGCTATTATTCGGAGTATTTGAAATATGATAAAGACTCGGAAGAAGAAGAAAAAAACAAAGAGATGGGAGAAGAAGAGCAAAAGTGCATCAACTGTTGATGGGTTGATCGATCTTGGTTGAGGCAAGATTCTGATTTAGCTAGACTATTCACGTTTTGAAGAGAATAATTACAGAACAGACTCGCGGTCACCCACGAATCGCCAGCCTCGCTAGAAAAAAATGGCTAGGTGAAATGAAGCGATAGCCTGGCAGAGTTTCTAGTGGCAGAGTCAAGGACTTGCATACTTGGGCAAAAGCGCACCAAGTTTAGAGCATCATGAAGACTCAGTTCTAGTGGCCACCAACGACCTAACTTCTCTGAAGAGCAATTTAGCTCGCAAAGTCCGAATCGCCTTTGATCCCATCTTCGAGAGTTGTACCAACAGTGATGCACAGCAGCTGAAATCAATGCCACAAGAAGTCGCAACTTTTGGGAGTCTTAACGTTTCCAGAATAGCGCACCCTTCAAAGCTTGGAGGACAACATTCCTCCCTTGGGTGCATTGTAAACGCTGATCTAACAGACATCAGCAAAAATAGGATACAAACGTACCGACCTAGGATTAATTTCAGCTAGTCGATGTGGGTGGCTTCAGCAGAGTAGGGTGCGCATATATAATGATGGCCAGATACTCTGGGTTTCGCTGCAGAAAGCTACTGAACTCCTCCCAGCTGATTTTCTCATCATGATTTATATCTAACGTGTCAAAAAGCTTGAACACCTGCAAAGCAAACCAATGGATAGATTCCTTCGATTGTTACTTTACGTGCGCCGTTGATTTGCTGAAGGAGCTGTCGATCGAAAAGAAGAGGATTAAGCAAAAGGAGGAACAACAAAAATACGATACGTTAGGATCAGCATATGTACCGTTATTGGAGGGAGCTCTGGAAAGATATCAAGCAAACTCCTCTCCACTTCATCACGAGAAAGAGTGCCATCGCCATTCACATCACATGCTTTAAATGCAGCCTCCATTGTACTTGAAAATGATGTGTGGCTGGACACAAAGGCGAGCCCTGCCAAAAACTGCATGCATAAAGCTTCTGTTTAGGACCTCGCTTCATAACCAAATTGATAATCAGAAATAAATTGATCTGAAGAGGTTTGCTTCCTAGAAGGAAGCAATGGGGTCAGGATCCCACATACATCACAAAACATTCTCTATTGGGAAAATAAAAAAAAAATAAAAAAATTGCAACAACGTTAGGTTGAGGAAATGGGAGGCTTCCATCAACCTACCTCTCGAAAGTTTATGCTTCCATGCCCATCCTTATCGAAAAGGTTGAACACCTGCTTAGTAATTGGTGAGCGTGGAAGATCCAGTGCCGTACATAACTCCTCAAATGTAACAAAGCCACTGCCATCACCCCCAGAACAGCTTATTATTACAAGTCAATACACGAGCGAACAGAATCTAACTCAAAAGCTTGATGCAGGCTGCAGTTGACTGCATGTGAGAGCGATGAGGTAGTTGCCGGCATTTCTGATCACATTTGCTAAGGAAGCGGAAACCTAGTGCAAAAATCTGTTTCCCGAACCTGTGTGTGCGGTCCATGGCGCTGAACTTTTCCAAGTATTCCTTCGCCGTAGGAAAATCCAGCCGAAATAACTTCTCCATGCGAGCAAACTCAACCAACGACCGACCTGAAGGCTGTTTGAGCTTTTCTGCAGCCAGCGCTAGCTTAATATCCAGAAAGCTGTGTTCTGTGCACACGATGCCTAACGCTTTAGCCATCTCGCTGCGAACTCTACTTGCGAATTCATGAGGGTATTTCATCTCTCTCACAGTTGGCTTCATGACCGGCAAATATTCAACCTGCACAAATAGTTGCTTCAATTTTCAGACTCGTAAATACGTCTATAATCTAAAACATCGAATTTATAGTATCAAATAGACTCAGAAATGCTGACACGCTAGCAAAAAGTAGTAATGGGTCCAAAACCGCCAGACGGACGGACAACACCAGAAGCCCCCTCGTTACCTCCATGTGGTTGATGAACTGAGTCATCAGCTGCAACACAACGACCAACGGACCTCCTTGGTCACACCAAGAGGGGTTGACATACTTGTGAGGGTATCTAATAACCATTGGCTGCACAGGGAGACCAGGCGAAAATGCTCCTGTTTTGAAGGCGATTATTGCTCTGCCATTGGTGGTAGTGCCCTCCGGGAACAACATGACGTGGGACCACATATTGTCCACAGCCCTTCGCCGAACGTTGCCAGCCGCATGGTGCCTAGACTGAGCATCAGTCCGGTCCACGGGTATTATCTGCGAATTCGCAACGCCATCAGCAATTGGCCTTCACGAGCAAGATCTCAAACCCCATTACAGACAGCTAAATATGCACAAGAATGAGTTAGAAAGAAATTACGTACTTGCAAAGCTTGCAAAAACAGTCCAATAATGGGCATCTCGACGTTCTCCTTGGCTGAGACGATGACCGGCAAGTGCCGATAGAACACAAAGATGGGATCCAGAAATCCAATGTGATTGGACACAATAATGGGCGCCTCTGATCGGTGAGCCGGTTTTCCCTTGATGGGAATGTAGTAATAACCCATGGTAAACATCACTGCTCTTGCTACTAACCGTATGCCCCACAGCATGAACCGTCGACACGGATTGAAAGGCTTAAACAAGGGATCTGTGACGCCGATCAGACAAATCCTGATCCACACATATCCAAATGCTACGATTGTTATCATGCTCACTAGACGAACGAGAAGAAGTGGAATCAGCAAAATGGATTTCATCATTTGAAAGTAATTCCACTCGTTGTTGGTCTTCCAACCACCATCGGGTTCATGGAAGGGATTTACTGGTGCCTCCGGCCCTATTGTAGGCCGTTCGCCAAGAGGAAATTCAGCCAGTAGTGGCGTTTCGAGCCCGTTGAGAAGGATAGGATCGTCGTCGGACATTCCGACATCTGCTGTGCTCTCCATATTTCTGAATTAATCGCGAGCACTTCGTACTATCAACTCAGGCAAACCCTTCTTGGAAAATTCTAACTTGTCAAAAAACGTGAAGTCCGACGAGATGGAACATAAGTTTGAGGAGCACTAGATGAAATCAGGACCATTCTCCTTGATGCATTTCTCTTGTTCACTTTGCCCAACAACCACGGATCTCTGCACAGATGACCAACGAAAAATTCTCAATCAGACGAGTATTGGACGAATTGCTGCTAGTCACCCTTCCTGCAATCAGGATTCATGCGAGAAAAAATAATATATATATATATATATATATATAAAGGACCAGCAGTCTCTGGTTAAGCTCTAAGCCTACACCAGACGTAAAACGGAAATCAAGAAAATGGTATCATCCAATTCAAGTAGCAGAGTGCTCGTAGTCTGCTGTTTTCCTTTTAGAGAATCCATTAGCTCATAGTTCTTAGGAACCAAAGCTGCGATTCAACGCTATCAGGCTCCATCGCCCCATGGTCTAAGGAAATGAACCTCAAAATCAACCAAAGCTCGAGATCGATCCTGCAGGGTCGTTACCAATACGGTCTCATCTATCCTCTCAAATTCAGTACACAATTTGTAAATCAGATACTCAACTCATAAAAACTTCGGATAAGGCAGCTCAAAATTCGATAGCGGGAAGAGAACTCATTCGAAAAAAACGAATAAAATCCCACTCACCCAGCACCAGTTACGAAACAAACCCCACCCGCCCACTCAATCTTGCGTCCATTCCCCTTTCCAGAATCTCTCACACCCAACCACACACACAGCTTCACAACAACACACAAACCAAACAGAAAACAAAAGCAATCTACCACCACTCAACATTCATTACGACCAATTCTCGCCACTCAGGCATCACACATCTCCTCGACCAAGATTCAATTCCACACACACACACACTTGCGAAGACACAATTCGTAAAAAAAATATAAAAACCAAAATCGTGAAAAGGAAACTCAGCATTGAATGCCACCATCCATACCTGGAACAAACGGAGGAGCTAATTAAGACGGAGGGCGGCGCCAGCGACAACAAAAACCTCTCTCTCTCTCTCTCGCTCCTGTCCGAGACAAAGACGGAGCTGGAAAAACACAAACATATACCTGCAGTAGACCGCTCCCGCCTCTTCATCAATTGAGGCAGCGACAGGTCGGCGGCACTCCATCCGCGAAGAGAGAAATCATATCTAAGGCGTGTCCGGAACACCATCGGAGGGAGTTGGAGCGGGAGGGAGGGAGGGCCGGTAGGAGAGGAGGGGGCAGGGATAAAAAGGGCCCCTGTTGACAGGTTCTTCCCGAAACTCCGGTTGACAAGTTCTCCACAATTAGTCCGAATCTGCCAAGTGCTGCCAAAATGACGCGTCTGACCTAACAGTTTCGCCGTGGACTGAATTCGCGTCCCGCTGCATATCCCGATGCGATCTATCTCGGTCGGTGGTCGACGATAGCGCGATTTCTCCCTCGTCCTCATCATCCTCCCCCTCCCACGCCCTCCTTAGTAATAACCCCGTTGCGCCGTAGCCAGTTGCATCCCGCTCTGTTTCACACCACGCTTGGATCAGATTCTTCCACTTTTTTGCTACCGATTTACGCGCGTGCTCTTGATTCCCTACGTCGTCGCTGTTTACCGCTTTGCACCACTGCGATCTCTTCGCCATGTCGCCGTGAAATCCATCGCTGTTATTTTTTGAATATACTCGCGACTCTGCAACACTGACTGTGCTTTGTAAACACTTCGACTTATCAAAACGTATTTTTATATTATATTCATATGATTATATCTACTAGATGAAAGAAAGATATGTCTGTGAGCCAAAGAATATTTTTCAAATACAATACAAATAAAAAGAAATAAAATACACAATGGAGTTTTCAGCTATGAAGTAGGATAGGTAAACCCGTGTCATTGATAATATGCACAAAAAAAGTAGTTAATTTTGTTCAACGAACTACTTGTGAAAATATTAAAAAAACATTAAATTACAATAAAAAATCGTAAAAGTATGTTAAGACATTCAAAGATGTATTGAAGTCAATAAATAAATAAATTAAAATAAAAAATATAAAAAATAAATTACTAATATTTATCTAATTAAAAGTATTAGAAAAATAATATTAAGAGTGGAATTTAAATTATTGTTTCTAGGAAGAAGAAACTTGATAGAATGGAAAGAAGTGCATTAAGAGAGTTCTATATGTAGTTGACCATGGGAAAAAATAGGTTGTTATAGATCCAAACCAACATGCTTCAATGATTGTGGTTGGAATTTGTTTATTACAAATGTAAGACAAATTGGAAATTACTTTTTCTTTAGAATGAATGGAAGTTCTTTTGTTATAGAAGTTAATGTAATCTATAGAATGAATATCAAGTTTCTAACAATTTTTTTTGAAATGATTCTTGCTTCAAGAATTCAATTCATTGTACCATTTTTAAATTCACAAGTGACAAATAGAAATATTAGTCAATAATAATGCAATCATAAAGAATTCAAATGGACCACCATATATATATATATATATATTTACAACATTTATGTGCATTCTATACCTGAAGAAGTGAATTAACAAACTCAATATATACTTGAAGTGCTTCTAAATTCAACTCTATGTTTTCTTATAATATATGGATTTTTATTTGAAGCCCAAGTGTTGAACATTGAAAAGATGCTGCTATAAATTTTTCTTGAGTTCCTTTCACAATTACCAATAATATTTGGCAAAAATTTCCACCAAAAACTATTATAACTCCTCCAAATGGACAATCACTATCCCAAATGTCTCTAAAAGAATGATCAATTGCTTCAAGACAATAACAATGTTGTATTGGAAGTTCATTCCAAATAATAAGCAAAGTTTGGTGAATAAACTCAATATTGTCAAAATTCTTAGTAATTGAACAAAAAAATATTTGTTACTATCTAGTAGAATCTTGAATGTAGAATGGGCAGTTCTTCCTCTCTTAAGTAGTAATGTTGTAATTCTTAATGATATAATACATATAACAATCTTTTTCATTAATCAAACTTTAATTGCTAAAGTATTATAAACAAATGTCTTACCAATTCCTCTTGGTCCATTTAAAATAAACATGCATCCATGTTCTTCTATTATGGAGGCGACAATATCATCATATGCCTTTCTTTGTTCAAGATTTAATTGTAGAACATACTATTCTAAATTTGCTTCTAATTGTTGAATGCTCTGTGTTCTTTCTTCAACAATAAATGAATTTCTATTAACTTTTGCATTCCAATTGTTTCTTAGTAATGGCAATTGTTTCTTAGTAATGGTGATTTCAGGGTTTTTTAGAAGATTGGAGAATAGAATTAGAAAGTAAACTTGAGGAGAGATTTTTATGCATTGATTTCATGTCATTTGAATCAATATTGAGATTTTGAGGGATCTTCAAAATTAATGATTTCTTGGTAGGATTAGGATTTGAAAAATAAAAATATGTTTACAAATTTGAAGGTTTCTTAAGTTTTGTGGTGTGCATATAGATGAAATTTAGGCACTATGTTAATGTGCTAGTTGTAAATGTGTGTGCAAATTTTGAAGTCAATCAAATGGTTAGATTGAAGTATGTAAAGTTTTTTGTGGGTTGAGGTCTCAAAAATTAGAATTTGAAAGTTAATGAGTATTTCTAAGATCTTTAGGAATCTCTCAATTGGATTAAAGTAATTTTTTTTGTATGGATATAAGACTTGATTTCCAATGTTTAATTGAAATTTGAAAATAATTTAATAGTTCAAGAAGGAGATATTTATACTAGAAGTTTAACATTCAAGTTGGAATAGGAAGCTACTCAACACTTGATTGGATTATCTTCTATTTCTCTCAATTAATAAATATAATTGATTTCATCTTTCTTGTAGTTGTTTTTAACTAAGACATTAATAAGTGTGTAAATTTTGAGTTGATATCAATGGTTTGATCATTAATTGTTGAAGTTTTATTTTGCTATAGGAGTTTTTAAGAGTTTGTTTAAGATCTAGGATTTGATTAGGATTTGGTTTAGTATTTGGTCTAAGATTTGATTTAGAACTTGTCTAGGATTTAGAATTTTATTAGGATTTCATTAGGCTTTGATTCAAGATTGATTAAAGTTCAATTAAGATTTCAATTAAGATTTGATCTATGATTCAATTAAGATTTAATTAGAATTTTAATTATAATTAAATTTTTTATTTTTATTTTTAGTATTTATTTAGAACTTTTTGTATTTTTTTGTGACTTCTTTTAAATTTATTTTGATAGATTAAAGTTTAATTGGATTATTAGAGATAACTTAAGTTCATTTAAGGCTCTATTAGATTTGATAGAATTATTGTTGCATTGTTACTTATCTTCAATAATTAGGTACTCGATGCATTCTCAAGCAAGAATATTTATAATACAACAACATCTACATCTTTCTTATCTTATGTCAAACAAAATATTGTGGAAATTGTTGGTATGTATATTGTCTTGCCATTCCTATTGTTCCACATGTCTCAAAAAATGAAGTTAATGTTATCTTTGTCTTTTTCATGTTTTAAAATTGTAGTTACTTCATTATTTGGATCATATATCATTTGATGCACTCTTGGAAGATAATCCGCCAAATGAACAATACTTGACATTTCTTCATAAATCCATATGCTAAAAAAATCTCCAAGCAACCTTTATAGCTTGAATATATCTTCTATCCAAATATTATTTGATCTTGTCTTGTTGGTTTTCAAATTAAATTATAATGCAATCATGGCCTTTATAGATATATTTGTAGATATACTTCATGGCGTGAATAGATGCACATACTTCAATATTAATATGAAATTTGTACTTCTAAAATAGTTTTTGACAAAATAGAACAATATCTTTATTATCAACAATCATTCTTCAAACTTCAAATGTTCTTCTATCATTTTTTTTTATTAATATTGAAGATATCCATTATCATCCATTGTTATTTCTTCTATAAATATCTTTAAATATTTCTTTGTACAACAATTGTCTTCTATATAAGGTGCTTGAGGATTTTGCATTCCATATGGACCATGTACTATGCATTATAGAATAACTTCAAATAGCTCTTGATTATTATTTTTATTTAGAAATTTTGTAAAAATCATATGATCTATGTTTCTAGTACATCTAATCTTACTTTTTTTATCCAAAAAAATCAAGATGTGCATATGATGTAGATTGCTCTTTTGAAACTCAATGGAATAAATGTATGCAACATGACTAAAGACAACTCTCTTCTTTATATCTTCCATAATTGCACGTCTCTTGAGCTTAAATATATGAGCAACCAAATCTAGCTAATCACTTGTTTCTTGTCCTTGAAGCAATTCATTTTGGATTTTAAATATCTTGAATTTCTTGTCATTATCATAAAAATATCAAGATATCAATAAAATCTTATAATTGCGATAGAATCTTGAAATATTTCTATCATATGTCTGACACTTCTAATATGTAATAATGAAAGTAAGATCCTGCATTCTAAATTATTTAATTCATGTTATCCTTCTTCACGCTCAATACTTTGATGAGTTACAATAGCATCTACCTATTCTTGGTACAAATCAGTACATAGATTTTATTGATTGTAATGTAAATATCACAAATATGACTACTCAATTCTTGCCTATTTTTCAACTATAAATTCTTATAATAGTATTTCTCTATACAAAATTATAGAATATTCGATACACTTTAAAAAAATTTGATAAGAAAAATAATCCATTTGTGTTAAGCTGTTGCATTTCCAATCCTCTCATCCAACACCTTCTCTTTGTTCACCAATATCCATCACCACATTTTGTACCTTTAAATCAAGATGCCATCTAAGATTTGGTATGGAGAAAAGAAAACATAATAAAAGGGCAAATAAATAGGATGAGTTTTATGAATCCTTCTAATAATCTATTATTATATAAACAAATAATAATATCACAAAGTGCATTATACTCCAATCTATC